CCAACACTGGCCTGGTTTTTCTCATTCCTCTGTGGCCAGTATTTTTTTTTCCCCTTTGTTGATTTTGATCGTCTTCCGTCCTGAGATCTTCACCTTCCCCAAATTTTAGGACACCGTCTTCATACTTCTCTTTCTCACAGCTCTTATTTACTAATAACTGCATCTCGACGGCTCCAACATCTAGAGCACAGAGCCTTCCCTGGGTCTGCACCTCCTCCAGCATTCTCCACAGCCTCTGTGGCTCCATCACAATGCCATCACAAATTTAATTCGGCTTCCTCTCCAGATTTCCCACCTTTGAACTCTTCTTCACAGGCCCAGCGTCTGTCCTTTCCTCTCTCATCATCGCTGCCCACAGTCCCCAATCTTTCATTTAATTCTCGTGCCCCTCTTGCTTCTTATGGAATTCTCATTCACATCAGTTCTTCCTAGTTTATGTCACCAGATGAATTTTTTGGGAGGAGGGTACTGGGAACCGATCTCAGGACCTTGTGTATTTCTAGCCAATAAGTTGTTTCTTTTCTCCAGAATACCCTCCAAATCCCCTTTCTAGCCTTTATTCTGGGAGCTCTCTGCCTGCCTTCATACCCTGTCCTGACGTATTTAATAATGCCCTTCTCCAAGTCCCAGGTTAGGGTCCTTCTCCTCCATGAAGGATGCGCAAGTGGGGACTGTCCACTGACCCTCCCAGGGGGTGCTGCCTGCCACTCGTCCAACATTTAGCACACCACCACGTGGGGCTCACTGCAAACCTGTGCCTTCCATCTGATGTACATGTTTAGTGGTAGGACTCTTCTGCTTGTCTGCAGGTTTTCTATGTAGCCTGGAACCATTAATCATTTTATTTTCCCACCGTCGCAGATGTCCCAGCTGATGTCACATGAACACCTGCGTTCCGATTGTGGTGGGCATCGTGTGTTCCTCTCCTCTCTGCCACAGTGCTGCCCACACAGTAGTAGGCTTTCAGGTGGGTGAACAGTAATTTCTCATTGCCAAACTCCTTGGGTGGTAGCTTCCTTTGTGCCATTCAATGACAGACAAAAATGTAGTTCAAGAGACTGGGCGTGGTAGCGCGCACCTGTAATCCCAGCTCTTGGGACAGGATCATTATGAGTCTGATTTGTGCAGTGAGACCCTCTAGACTCCATACTAAATACATAAAAATAAAATATTGAGAAATTATCAATAAAGTGAAAAGGCAACCTACAAATTTGGAAAAAATCATGACAAATAAGTACTCAGACAAGGGTCTGCTCTCTAGAATCTATAAAGAACTAAAA